ATATATATATATATATATTTATATATATATATACACATACACACACATATACTGGCCCAAAGTCCAGGACATGCCCGTAAAAGAGGCTGAATCCAAATATTCTTTCCTGCTACACAGGAATCCAAACTGAGACTGCACTGTTTTTCTCACTCCTGCTGGAATCATACGGTAAATCAGGAACTTTGTCCAATGGCATCAAGTCCATTGTGTACAATGCCATTCTAAAGCTAGTGGGCTTGTTCTGGAGAATCTGTAGAGCAAGTTCATCATCAAACCAGAGAATGCTCAAACCTTTGCTTGGCAGTTATGCTTTTTCCTAAATTTAAAACAATGGACTGTTTCCTTCAAACCTGTATGGCTCTAAACTATGCCTGGACACAGTGGACTGAGTGCCAGGATCGTATACAGAAGCAAAACCTTGCAGACTCCCCTCACCTCTAACGTATGAACATGTATTTTTATAGATGATAGATGAGTATATACAAATGTTGGCTGGGGAACCCTTCTCTCCAATTCAACTCCTTAAAAGCAAACTCTTTATTTAAAAATCAGGTCAGTAGCACAAAAACTCGTGCAGTGGTTCACAGCAGCATGTCTCTATTTGTGCTCAGGGAGCATTTTTTCATGGCCCGTGTCTCATTCTCAGTATAAAGAACTAGTTTTTATAAGCCTAGATGTTCAAAGACTTGTGCTCTTTGTTGCAATAGCACTCTAAAGGTTAGGTTTCAGCTTCTAATCTTGTTGCATTATTACATCACTGTGGATTACTAGCATTTATTCAAATAAAATATCAACCTTACTTTTCAAATAGAATAAGCCTTCAGAAGGATTCTGGTGTATCCACTGCCTCCCACCCTCCTAATCAGAACTTTTTTTTTTCTTTTTTTCATTTACTGGATTACCTTGCTACTGGGAATATATACAGTTTGAACCCTTGCAATGGGATGGTGGCTGACAATAAAGTCAATGGCCACTAAAGTGTGCTTGTAAAGGCGGGGGTGGGATGCAAGTAGAAGAAAAACAAAATAACAACTATGGAATCGGAAAGAATGGGGATTGCCCACGTTGGGGAGACCCCCCACACACACACATATTCTGTCTCAGATGTCTTCGTGCACAAGCAGAGGCTGGGTAGAAGAAGCGCTGCTGCCGACGGAGTTGATTCGCACCGAGTGATCCACGGGGATGGGGCTGGGGTTTGCAAAATTGGAGTAAATCTGAGGAAAACAAGCGCAACAAGCATACAGTCAATACACCAGATCCCATCATGCACACAGCAACAATGACGTGCTTGAAGCTTCAGAATTGCAAATAACTAACTGCTTTAGAGTCTGAAAGAACAGGGATTTATAACAGACCTTGGTGGCCAAAAAACAAAACATACTGACAAAGCAAAACACAAGCTTTGTTTTACTTCTTCTTGTTCCCAATGTCTGATTACACAAGAAGTAATAGCAAAGAATGTTCAGTTCTCGTGGATGGGCCTTGAAAACATCACGCTGCACAAAATAAGTCAGCTACAAAAGGCAAAAGCCTGTATGATCTGACTTATCTGAAATAAACAAATACGTAGGAAACAAAGATTATTAATGGTTACCAGGGGTCAGACAGAGAAGAAAGGGGGAGTTTTTGTTTGGGACCAAAGAGTTTATGGTAAAGGTGGCGGAATGGTGGTTTGGCATAAGGACAGTGATAATAATCACACAACATGAAAAATGTCATCAATTGACATTTTTGAGTAGTAAATGTAGTTGTGTTGGTGGTATGTTTTCACCACAATAAAAAAGAGAGAGAGAGAGATGTTCAGGCCTAGTTCCTCTAATGGGACACATCTGGGAAGAAGTACTTACTAACTTATTAAAAAATTTATATATAATCTTTATAACCAACCAACTTAACAGCAGATATAATTTGCTGAGAAATCTGTGGCCCTCGCAGGGACCTCACATGGAGAAGCAAAGCACCTGAATAGAAAATACGATTGAATGTGAAATATATTTCGACACCCAGGAGAGCAAGCTTTAACCCAAAAATATCAGTGGTGGGAAAGAAAGTAAAGACAGCTTCAAGCACACAGTACAGAAGGGGGAAAAAAAAAAGCAGCTTTAAAATAATCTGAGTTAAAGTGAGGGTCACTAATTCTTCCTAAAAAGCAGGAGAGGAAATAGTAGATTTGACTTTTCATTCCTTCCCCCTAAAATCACTGGGAGGGATTTCTCCCCAACTTCAAACAGCTCTCTTCATTATCTATGGCTCGTGGGCATGACGGTTCTCTGCCATTTTCTGGCTATGCTTGTTTGAGCAGAAGGCTTACTGCACTGCAGTAACAAGCTGTCTTTTCTGTGCTTTTATTCTAGTTCAGATCATCTCAACCCTCCAGAGAGTGAATGCCCCGACAAGCGAGAGGGAGAGCATACTGACCTCATGACCAGCATCTGGGGAGAGGAGGAAACTCAGGTAATTCTCACAGAAACTTCCACTTCCACACTTCTGAGTACAAAGCACCCAACCTATCCCCTCCTGATCTCACATCCTTCTTGGCCCAGAACAATGGGATTGGGCAGAAAGCACTTGTTTCTACTGCTTTCTTTCCTCACCTGAAGCTTAATATATTACTGAAGCCATGGAAAGAATGGGTAGGGAGGTCATGTCATACCCTCAGAGCCGGAGAGCAAGGACATACCTGGATCTGTGAAAAGATGGGTTTTCCATAACTGAGCAGAGTAAGTACTCACATGACTGGTACTCTCTGAAATCTGCTTTTCAATGAGCTGAACCATCTGCTTGAAGGTTGGCCTTTTTAGGGGATCAGCATCCCAGCAAGTCTTCATGATGTCATACCTGCAAGACAAGGACCATTTGCTACCACTTCTCAATGCCTTTAACCTGTCTTCTGGTGCAACAATTTATATAATAACTCCAGGGCTATGCAATTGGATGTATTTAATGAGTTACGTATAAAAGAAAATACATGTCTATATGAAATGAAAATGGTTAAAGTGCAAATGGGTAAAGGGCTCAGCTGATAATGGAAAGGTTGGAGGTTCAAGTCAACCCAGAGGTGCCTCCAAATAAAGGTCTGGCAATTTCCTTCCAAAATGTCAGCCCCTGGAAACTCTCTCTGCAGGGTACAGTTCTACTCTGACACACATGGGGTCATCATGAGTTGGAATCGACTCCACAGCAACTGGTATGTACGAAATGCCACTGAAGCATTCCATATTTTTGGTGACAAGAAATTATGAAAATAAGCTACAGAAATGACATTTGACCAGAATGTGTCATAAAAAGGAAATAGGTGACATTTTTTAAACTGTGCTCAGGCAAACCCTCAACATCTTGTTTTCTGTCTTTAAAAGGAAAAATAAAAGGAGAAATGTTTTCTGAAGAAAAAGCATGTTGGCCCTTACATTTCAGCAGGTGCGTGCTCAGGGCTGAACATCCGGAAACCTTCCTTGATCATCTTGTAGAACTTAGAATCAACTGGCATTCCAGGGTATGGGCTGCTTCCTGGGGAACAAACAGGGTGCAAATCCCCGTTAACCACAAGCGAGCAGGACACTGCTAAGAACCTCAAGATGATGCTCTGAGTCTAATAATCAAGGTGCCTTTGGAGAGAATTATTTTACCTAAAGAGAACAGCTCCCACAGGAAAATCCCATAGGACCAGACATCACTTTCAAATGTGTACACACAGTTGAAAATGCTTTCAGGGGCCATCCACTTCACAGGTAGCCGAGCCTGTAACAGGAAGCACAAGAAATTCAACAATGCTAATTAAGAAGCTCAGCTACTGAGTAGAAAATGTCCTTATAGAAGTTGCTCTTGCAGGGGTGGGAGCTTGGCTACTATCTCATAGAGAACTTTTAACTCTAAGACCTCAAATAATCCCAACTGCCTCTGAATAAATGACTTCTAATTATCTTTGTTTTAAAGATGGGGACATTGAGTCAGTATAGCATGGCGGTTAAAAGCACAGACTTCAGAGACAGATAGGGGTTATAATCCTGACTCCACTACTGGCTCTGAGTAAAGCAGAGATGTGCTAGTTGTCACCAAATGTCAGTTTCCCCATTGTCCCAGAATAAGAGAAACATGGCTGCTCACAGTAAGGATTATATTTCCCAATCTCCTTTGGGACCAAGTGTGGCCATGTGACTTAGTGTGGGCCACTAATAGTAAGTAAAATGTGGTAGTTTTAGGAAAACTTCCTCAAAATATAGCAGACTTGTGCCCTTTGTTCTCTTTCTCCTGTGTCCCTTCCTCTATCCGCCCTTCTGGATATGATGGCTGGCTACTTAGTGGCCACCTTGGACTGTGAAGATGAGGGCTATCCCCAGGGATGGTAAGAAGTGGAAAGGTGGAAGGAGCAGATCCCTGAGTACTTCATGGGACCTCTGCGCAAGCCTTGGCCTGTTACCCTTCAACTTCTACTTTTATTTGGGGGTTTCTGTCATGTGAAAGATAGGAGCTCTGGTAGCATAGTGCCTAAGGCACTTAACTGCTAACCAGAAGGCTGGCGGTTCAAACCCACCCTCGGAAGGAAGGTTGGACTCGACGGCACATAACAACAACAGTCATGTGAAAGGAGTCCCTGCATGGTGCAAATAGTTAACATGTTCAGCTGCTAACTGAAGGGCTGGAGATGTGAGTCCCCTCGAGACTTGTTTGACAAAAGGCTTAGCAATCCACTTCTAAAACACAGCCACTGAAAACCTGATGGGGCACAGTTCCACTCTGACACACATGGAGTCACCATAAGTTAGAATCTACTCAATGACATTTGGTTTGGTTTGGTCACATACAAACTATTCCTGGCAACCTACTTCCGTAAAGATGTATAGCCTCGGAAACCCAATGGGGGTCTCTGAGTCGGAATCGACTCAATGGCAGTGAGTATTATTATATTATATTGTAGACTGGAAAAGTCACTTCAATATTTGCAATTAAGCTTCAGTGAAAGAAAAAGTACCACCAATTTCATGTATGGTCTTATGGGTTACATGAGATAATGTGTGTGAAAGTGCTTCATACTGTACTGCTTGACTCACTAATATCTGAAAAGGCACCTAGCATAAGCCAGCACTCAGTCAACACGAGGTGCTGATGATCATAATGACCACTTCGAGGTGCTGAGTGGCAGGGTCAAGGCTTAAATTCAACAGCTGAAGCCCACATTCTGCCTTTCCACTGATATTAAGCTAAACTTTCCCTGACAATTCCTCTTACAGACAATCTGGATTCCTGGATCCTAGCGTACCATAAACAGCTAAATCTCTCAATCCTTCCCTTAATCCATTTGGGATTTGAAAACTGTGAAAATACTTTTTTTCTAGTCAAAGTTATTGTAGTAGATATTTAAAAAAAAACATTTATTTTGGGATTTTGGTAGTTTTGGGAAGATCCTGTCATTCTGTGTGATAAAGAAACATGTGCATGGCTCTATCACAGATTTACTTTTTGATATTTTGATAGCTATGTTTCAGTTTAATTGACTTCCTTGGAATTGTTATGTATTTTATTTTATGCAATTGAAACTATTCGGACAAGGGATCCCTAGGCTTCAACTACACTATGAAAGGGGCCATGGCATTAAAATGACTAACAAGCCATGCAGAAGGGAGAACTCTCAGAGGGCCTGACATAAGGAAATCTCAAATGACTATGATGTAAGTTTGGGGTCACTAATGTGTGGTTTCCTTTTTGTTTACTTGTCCCATCAGGTGCCTTGTGAAAATGACATCTGTGATTGGTTCATTCAACTGACCTGAGCTGAAGTTCACAATCTGGAAGCCTCATGGGGTCTAACTCACCATTGTGAATTCAAACTAAGAGCACTAAGCAACAAGAAGCCAATAAGAATTTGAGGTATAACCATTGTCACAATTATTTAAATTTCAAACAAGATATCCATAAATAATAAGTGTCAATATAAATATCAATAAAGTAAAAATAATAAGTGTCATACACATATTTGCTGCAATATGTCAAGGCACTGTTCTAAGCTCTTGACATATATTAACTCATTTAATCCTCAGCCATTTTACAAGGTGGCAATATTATCCTCAAGGTAAGAAAATCTAAGGTTCAGAGGTGTCCTTCCCAAATATTACACAGCCAGTAAATGGTGAAGCCCACATTCAAACACGACAACACTGTGTCCAGAGACCACTATCTTCTTCCTCTTGTCCTTTTGTCAGTATTCATAGGCCTAGATGTAGTAGGTAAGGTATTTGGCTGCTAACCAGAAAGTCAGTGGTTCAAACCCACCAGCTACTCCACAGAAGGAAGATGGGGCAATCTACTTCCATAAAGATTTACAGCCTCGGAAACTCAATGGGGGTCACTATAAATTGGAACTGACTTGATGGCTGTGAGGTTTTTTTTCCCCTAAGATACTGAACTACACTTCATTGCTCCTTCTGATTGATGCTGCACCAGGATGCAGAGAAGTTGGTCTTATTAACATGCAAGATGAAGGAATCTAGCCTCAGAGGAGCTTTTATATAAATACATGCTTTGGTTAGTGTATCTGCTATATCAACCGGGTGATGCTTCTACAAAACCAAGTCTAGTGGAGCCTGCCCATAGACATATCATAGTGATGAGGGACAACATAGTGCATTATATTATCATTAGGGACATAAACATTCACCTTCAGGAGGCAATTCTGAGTATAGAATGGGTCTGGGAAAACAGGCATCCAAGAATGTATTTTCAGGACTCTATGGTTTCCTATGCTAATGGAATTATTGTGGTATGCTGTCAAGTTGGTCCTGACTTCGAGCAACCCTATAGGACAGCATAGAACTGTCCTGTAGGGTTTCTTCAGCTCTAATCTTTATAGGGGCAGATGGCAGGTCTTCTTTCCCGTGGAGCTGCCGGTGGATTCAAACCACCAACCTTTCAGTTAGCAGCTGAATGCTTAACCATTATGGCACTAGGGCTCCTGTGCAAATGGAATATTGCTCCAGAAATCATGGGCCCTGGTCTCAACATTTCCTGGCCTGTGTCAGCTCTGAAAAAACCATTAAAACATACTGTGCCTCCCTTTCTACAACTTTTAAAACAGGAAGACACTGCATTGTAGATCAAGCATTTTTCTGAAGGTACGCTGAAAACTGGCGATGAAATAAGGCACTTTGAAATCAAGATCTCTATGTTTTATAAACAAATGATTCCTTATGAGCCTATCTAATAGCTCTCTATTGATTTAAGATCCAAAAATCTATATAGTTAATTCTGAACATTACCTTAGATTTTAATCTTTTCCACATAGCATGTCAATCTCAAACAAACTCTCCCGCTGTGACCTTCAAGTCCACATTTGTTACACTTGAGCAAAACTGAGATCATTGCTATTCTCAGGCTATAATGAAAATTAAAGCTATTTCTGTTTCCTTCACATGCCCCATAATTACACAATTAGAATTAGGAATTCTTTATCGGGATGTTAGTTGTAGTAATGTTCATCATACCATGCAAATTTTGCTGAAGTACCTTTAATTTGATGCTAACACGCATGATATCTCAAGGTAGGATTAGCATTATGAAAATGATAGAAAATAATTTTCATCAAAACTTGAAACTTAACATCCTTCCCTTGACTGTCAGGTCAAGGGCGAGTACTCACGTTTCCTTTGACCACGTAATTAGAATCATTCTTGATGTCTCTGGCTAGACCAAAATCACAAATTTTTGTGATTCGGCCATGAGTAAGAAGGATATTTCTGGCTGCCAAGTCTCTATGAATGCACTATTGGGTTGGGAGAGAGAAGAAAACCATTTAAATTCATTTTAAACTTTTAAAGAGTGAAAGCTATTTTTAACACTGGAGTGCAGCTTGTATCACAAAAACTCAATACTTTTGTTTTACATTTAAACTATTCTATGCACTAAAAACTTAAAAAAAATGCAAATTATGCCTTGAATGATCACATTTTGTGTTTCACATTGTTAGGACCCTAATTACTATAATCGCTTTCAAAATAGACTCCTGATAAAATGCCTCCCCCCACTCCCTTCTCAGGACTTCTTTCATTCATAGGAAAATATATTATAAATAGTCTTATAATGTTCTTTAGGCTGAAATTTCATTTTGCATGCAGCTCCTTGAATGTCCTTTTATAGAGTTTCTAAAATGTCTTGGCAACTTCAATTTAACATCTTCCAAGGACACAAGGAAGAAGCTCTTTATTTCAGCCACCCTACATCCCCTTTTAGTTTGGTAATTGTTCGGAAATGTCACTAATGACGCTTAAGGATAGGATCAGTAGCCTCATCCTATTCTGTTAGCCCCAGATCCCAGGGAATTCCTCTCACCTCTGCACAGACCACGGTCCTTATTTTGGTTCCATCCTTCACCTTGTGTGCCCATCCTTCTCCCAAGTGTGTATTATTCTCTATGCCCTGACTCCCCCAAACTTCATAAGCAATACATGTAGCATTTGGGGTCTAACGTCAATAAAACCCAAGCATATGATATGCTTCACCCGAGGGGAGCAACTACATAAGGGCCCCCTCCTTTTATTGATAAAATGATTATTTCTCTGTTTTCTAAGGGCATATTTTATATCCTAAAAGCCTAGTTTTAAATGAATTCATTGCATATAAAAAATATTCATGGAAAGCTCATTTAGACAGGCTTGCACTTTAAAGCTTGTAAATTAGAACAGGAATTCCAAGGAGACAGCAGTTGAAACATGAAAAAACTAGATTTCCTCTGCTTTTGGTTACCACACTTCAAAATGACACTTTGCATTCTAACTATGGCTCTCAAATGCTCCAAACTTCTTATGAAAAAAAAAAAAGGACTCTTCTGAGATGCACTCCCACTTACGTTCTTCGAGGCAAGGAAGGCCATGCCCTTTGCCACCTGGTAGGAAAAGCTCAGCAGGTCTTCAAGATCCAGAGCCAACTCATCATCCTCCATAATGGCGGGAGTCACATCCCGTTCTATGTATGAGCCTGGCAAGAGGAGAGGGTTTTTCTAAGCATGTGAAGCCTTAAAGGTGAGGAAAATAAAAGACAGCAACAACCGTAACAGTAAAGGCTGGGAATGAAGGAACTAATGTGAACTTGCAGGCCAATCACCACCTCAATGTTGAGGGAATGTAGTATCAAATCACAAAGTTAGTATTTACAATCCTAGACTGGTTACTAAAACCTGGAGAAAGAATAGTAGTTACAAACCAAATGAACACCAAAATCCCATATATGCTATAGGAGACTCAGCTACAAAAACACATGCTTTTCTCCCAAACACCTCCTTAACTGCCACTGGTAGGGACCCTATTAGAAAGGAGAACTAGTCACTCTCAGGAATGAACTTTTAGTCTACAAAAAACCAAAACCAAGCCCACTGCTATCAAATCAGTTCTGACTCATGATGACCCAATGGCATGCAGAATAGAACTGCTCCATAGGGTTTTCTTGGTTACCATTTTTAGGGAGCCAGAAAAGTATGCCTTTTTTCTGAGGTGCTGCTGAGTGGGTTTGAACTGGCAGCCTTGGTTAGTAGCTGAGTGCAAACCATTTGCACCACCTAGCTCCTCTGCAAATGAAATCATTGTCATGGCTTAGTAGGTACCCACCTATTCTTGCAGATCTCCTTTTGTCTGCTTTGGTCGGGACAACGTAGGAAACTCCAGGCTTCATGTCCATGTACTCATTAGTACTATCACTGTTGAGAGATGCAACATTCACTAAGGCATGACTGAACAGAATGGGGAACAGGACAGGGACACTAATGAGACAGGCTCAATCTCTTCACCCTCCAGTTTTTTCTTTTTTTCAGCATAAGGAGCTGTTTTTATTTGAAGAAAGTATGTCAAGTATGAATGAAGAGTTTGAAAGACTTATTTTAGAGGCTATCGGAAGGAAGATGGGGCAATCTACTTCCATAGTACTGCCTCGGAAACCCAAGGAGGGGTCGCTATGAGTTGGGTCCGACTCGACGGCACATAACAACAACAACAACAAGCTTTTAATATTCGACATTAGGATCCAACCCCAGGAATTATCAAACCAGGGAAAAAAAAAAAAAAAAACCACTGCTGTTGAGTCAGATCTGACTCATAGAGAGCCCTCCTTGAATGTCCGAGCACTATGGAAGTAGATTGTCCAATCTTCCTTCCGAGGAGTGGCTGGTGGGTTTGAACCGCCAGCCTTCTGGTTAGCAGTCAAATGCCTTGGGCACCAGGCCACCAGAGCTACCACCTCAGGAATTAGATGGCCTTTGTTATGCTCACCAAGAGGGGGCTGGTGTTAGAAATGTCCCGGATCTAACAGGAAAAAGAGTCAAAAACATAACCACTATTTCCAACTCTCTAAATTAGCCCCAAGAGACAAGACAAGATGAAAGAAAGATAAAGAACAAGGACTTCCGTGATGTGTTACGGGGGAAGGCAGAGCTTGTTAACATATAGCGACTGATGGAAAAGGTTTAAAAACCAAGTTTGGTTCAGATAAACACCAATAATTTGGATGATTTTCTGAACCATCTGGACCTCTTGAATCTGCAACATTTGGCTGGAGACTCTTCAAGATTTCTAGTACTTCCTGCTTCTGATTAGCATAGAAACACCATGACAACAATCTCCTTCAGAGCATGCTGGTGGTTCCAATCCCATATGGGATCCCACAGCACAAAGAACACCACACAAAATTGAACAATTTGGGCCATTATTTCAGAAAGTTAAAAAATATATATGGAGCCAAGATTATAGAAATAAGGCAAGGTGATTCATTTTTTTCTACAAAGAACGTATGTTTTGGAGAAACAGACAAAAGGTGGTTTGTCTTGTATTTACCACAACTTGAAACTACTTAAGTTTACAGAACTGGAAAAAAAAAGAAAAATTAAGAACTTCAACTGTGGTTTTAAACTTCAGCCAGAGGTACAGAAAATGGCTGTAAGAAATGATTATTGTTTTGTTGGGTATCATCGAGCAGATTTTCAACTCCCTGAGACCCTGTGACAGAGCAGTAGTGCCCCAAACGGCTTTCTAGTATGGAATCTGTACAGGAGCAGGCTGCCAAGTCTTTCTCCTGTGGAGCTGCTGGGTGGGTTCAAACCTCTAACCTTCTGACTAGTAGCTCAGCACTTAACCATTGTGCACCAGGGCTCCTAAGAGGTGACTGCTGTGTGCCAGAATTAATTCTAAATCCTAGCGACAGTACAGGGTAGAGTAGAACTGCCCCATAGGTTTTTCTAGTTTTTTGCTTTATAGCCTTTGAATTGTGATGTTGGTGAAGAATACTGAAAATACCATGGACTGCCAGAAGAATGAACAAATCTGTCCTGAAAGAAGTGCAGCTGGAATGCTCCTGGGAAGCAAGAATATAGTCAGATTGCATCTCACTTACTTTGGTCATGTTGCCAGAAGGGCCTATTCTCTGGAGAAGGATATCATGCTTGGTAAAGTAGAGGGTCAGCAAAAAAGGGGAAAACCCTCAGCAAGATGGGCTGCCACAGTGGCTGCAACGACGGGCTCACGTATAGCAAGGATTGTGGGGATGGTACACAAATGGGCAGTGTTTCGTTCTGTTGTATGTAGGGTTGCTACTCGATGGCACCTAACAACAACAATCTTTATAGGAGTAGACTGTCAGGTCTTTCTCCTGTGGAGCCACTGGGCGAATTCAAACCTCTAACCTTTTGACTAGTAGCCAAACACTTAAAAATTATGCCACCAGGGCTCCTAAGAGGTGACTGTTGTTGCATGCCATAGAGTCAATTCCAAATCATAGCAACAACAGAGGATAGAGTAGAACTGCCCCATAGGGTTTCCTAGGCTGTGAATCTTCACAGGAGCAGATCACTAGGGCTTTTCTCTTGCAGAGCCTCTGACATTTTGGTTAGCAGCTAAGTGCTTAACCATTACACCACCAAGGTTCCTTAAGAGGTTGGAACCTGTCTGTAATATTTACTGAGGTCTCCATAAGGGCAAGGTGGTGAGAGTTTAGGGAACAAAGTCCTGCTATCTCAGAACATTAGAGATAGAAGGAATAAAAAGAAGAGGAGGAATCCACCACACAACTGCATAAATAAAGAGCTTAAGGGAGTGAGGGTAATAATCATGATTTTTATCAGGCTAGGGAGGAGCTCTGGTAGCATAGTGCCTAAGGCATCAGACTGCTAACCAAAAGGTTGGCGGTTCAAACCCACCAGCGGCTCCATGGATGGAAAACGAAAACATCTATTTCTGTAAAGATTTACCATCTTGGAAACACAATGGGGGTCGCTATGAGTCAGAATTGACTCTATGGCAGTGGGTTTGGTTTGGTTTTGGTCAGGCTGGGTAAACCTGGGAAGTCTTCCTAAGCGGTGGATCTTAACAGCATTCATAAGAAAGAATAGGCCAGGTTTAGCAGAGAAAAACTCTTATTTTGGTTTTAAGTCAAAGCAATTCTCCTTAAAAGAACTTGAAGCTCTTTGCACATCATTCGATTTCAGAATGTTATCAATGATATAGAATAGGTACAGAATTTTTTTTTTAATGTGGTAGAGTAGTTATGCCTTTTTACAGAATGATGAGTGGGAAAAAAAATTAGAAAAGCAAGGTATATAGAAATAATTCAAAGGGAGATGAAAAGAGACCTACGTGTGGAGATATGTTCAGAGCTCTTTGCCATTTTCTTAAAGGTTTTAAAGGAATTTACTGTGACAACTTGACAGGCTTTAGCATTTCCCTATAAACACTGCCTCACTGTAAAGACACATATAGTACTAAGCTCTACTGTATAAATGGAATGACACACAAGAACGGATCTGTGACAGAGAAACGGGTAGAGAACTCATTCAGTGGAAGAGAACTAAAGCCGAGAACAAAAACTAAGGAGTATTAAAAAAAAAAAAAAAAAAACCTCCAGCAAAAATCTAAGTTTAAGACAATCCGAATCTTTAAAAACACTATTTGAACTTTCTGAACTGCTAATCACATTTAAATGATTTAATAATTTTGATTTTGCACCTCAGAGTACCTCAGTTCATTTTTCAAAGAATCAGCCTTGATTACAAACCCTTACGACCCCACGAACTGCCTGTCAACAGCTGATTGTTTATGTAAATTTGTCTTACCACGACGAAGACTCCTTTGAATGCAGAAGATTCTTATAAAGTGCTGCTTCTGCGTGATCTTCCTGCTTGGCGCAAATAAATGAATCACGTTTTCGTCTCAAAAAATTCAAAAGATCACCATAGCAACAATATTCTGTAATGACCAGGGTTGGCCCTGCAAGCATGGAAGGAAAGGTTAGAAAGGGGTGATGTGTATAGATAATTTCGGCCTCCCATAAGACATCCAAGGCTGGTCTCAGCCATTAAAATGCAGGTTAAATGAATAAACCAGCTGAATGCCAATACAATCCTGTCTACGAACATTGCTTGTAAAAAAGCAGCATTATTTTGTGGAGGGAAGCTAAACAAGCAAGCCCCTTTTACCTGGATTTCTAAGTAATGTTACTCTTTGGGGCCAGGTGTGATTGCTGGTTTTACAGACAGAAGTTATGCTTTCAAACTATGCAGTACTATTTATTATCAGGCTTCCTACAAGAATCTGTGATCTACTTCTGTTTACAGCAGGGCTTTCCACCCTCCTCTGTAAGGTTATTATGGAAATGATGAAGAGCACAAACAGCAGCATAATGGGAAAACCGACCACATGGAACAGCCAGCTGAGATAAGACTGGAAATTAGGTGAAAACCTGCAATGACAGGGCATCACCTGTGTCCTGACTACCGGCAGTCAAAAAATGCCTAGTGTTACAAATGCCCAAAGCTGCAGCTCAAAGGTAATAGGCAACCAATTAATTTAGGTAAAAATTTCTCATGAACAATTCATGATGTGGTTAAGCAACACTTACGGGGGTTGTTTTCAGAAATCATATAAAGCTGTCAACTTGCCCGTGAATCTATCCAGAGCTCGAGGAACAGCTCATTTTACACATCTTTGTTCCTTTAGGCCAAAAATGCTTTCTGCAAGCATCACAGGTGCTTGATGGAAGGTTTCACTAATGGTTCAGAATTGGAAATTTATTTCTGCAGAAGTGAAAGCTTTGCCTTGTTTAGTGTATATGTAAGCACTGGGAGGCTTGAGACCTAGTTTTAATTATAGTATGCAGATGAATATTAACCTTTGAGTGACAAAATATGATCCGGGAATATATAAAGTTTGTAAGATGAAAAGAAAAGCTTTTCAGCTTAGATGAGATGAGATATTCAAGAGATCAGTGTTGTTAAGGTGGCATACATCACAGCAACTAGGGTATGCACTGCGATATCCCACCTACAATGATAAAACTAAAATATACATTTAGATTCACATTCATGACAACCCCATGTGACCAAACAGAACTGTCCACAGGGTTTTCTTGGCTGTAATCTTTACAGAAGCAGATACCTAGGTCTTTCTACTGTGATACCACCAGGTGGGTTTGAACTACTAACCTCTAGGTTAGTAGTTGAGTACAAACTGTTTGCCCCACCCAGGGACATTCCTTTATTTTTTTTTAAAACTGTTCGCTATAATTTAGGTGAAAGTTTACAGAGCAAATTTCTTTTCCATTCAACAGTTCATACATGTTTTGTTTTGTGACACTGATTGTAATTCTCCCAATGTAACAGCTCTCTTCCCACTTCCTCCCTGTGGTTACCTTTTCCCTGAGTGTTTCTTTCTTATGCATTCCTGCCTTCTGAGCTTTCTCCTTGCACAGATGCTGCCCTTCTGATCTTCCGTGGCTGATCTAAGGAATGCACCTCCCTGGTGTAATTGTTCACTTCATAGGCCTGTCTACTGTTTGGCTGAAAGTTAAGCCACGAGTGTGAGTTCAATTCCAGGTCTGAAGGGTGAATAGGAGTCATCGCCTCGGGGGTTTCACCAGTATCTAACACACCAGTAAGCCTGGCCTTTTTTTTTTTTTTTAATGATTTTGAGTTTTGTTCCACATTTTTCTCCTACTCTATTCCAGGATCTCCAATTCTGATTATAGGGACACCCTTAAGAATAACGTGGCTCACTGCCGTCGAATCAGATCTGACTTATGATGAGCCCCGCCTTGGTTTTCTGAGGCAGTATCACTACAGAAGTAGATTGCCCAACTTTCCTTCTGAAGAGTGGCTGCTAGGTTTGAACCACCAGCCTTCTGGCTAGCAGTCAAGTGCCTTAGGCACCATGCCACCAGAGCTCAGCTCTCTAAAAAACAAGCATATTTAGCAAGAGATAGCAATTACCTGGGTAAAAATCATGCACAGAGTTTATAACCAAGCATTGTCCAAAAGATTAAATTTCCCCTTTTGATAATAATCAGTTTACACATGGCTTTACCTCCAATGGTGCATGCTCCAAGAAGATTCACAATGTTCATATGATTACCAAGGTAACTCAGGACTTTGAGTTCAGACATTAGGGCTTCTCGTTCAGTTAAGTGGGCACTTGCTAAAATTAGAAATATCTTATTTTAGCAAAAAAACAGATTTAGCCAACCCCTGTTGACTAGCACATGCAGTACCCTGCAGGAACTTACGTTTGAGCATTTTCACAGCCACCGTCATCGCCGCATCTGATTTAATTAAGCCATATGCAGTAGCCTCAACAACTTTCCCAAAAGCTCCGGCCCCCAAGGTTTTCCCTTTAACAAGGAAGACAACAGGGTAAGTGGTGGTGGCAATGACGAGACTGAAGAGACATTGTGTAATTTCAAAATCAGCAAAGGAATTAAAGACAACTTTGTCTAGAGACAGCAATAATACTTCACAAAAAACACTTATTATTTCAGCAGAATAAAACAAAGGAAGCCATTGGGGTTCCCTAAGCCATTATTATGGGTACACCAAAAGGTTACATGGAAAGCCCCAGTTTCATACTGACCAAAACTCAGCCTGTTTCTGGGAAACTCCCATTTGTGATCATAAGGAAGTTGAGTTGGGTCTATGTAAACATAATTGTTTCCATTTATTTCCTCAACAACCTTCCACTGCACTTCATACATGGGTTTCTGGGGGAGAGACATGGAAAGATATCTGTTACCTTTTGATTAATGTTTCAGTCACTACAGCACTCAGGGGAAAGCACACAGATGGTTTTACCTGTAAATACTTGTAGGTGAGAATCATCACAATGATGCACATCATACCAGCTGCAATCACAAAGCCAATCAGCAAAGGTGTGAACAGAGTGTGGGACTGGATTTGTTCTAAAGTGAAAGAGAAAGGTCGAATCATGAACTATTATTACAGCAGGGTTGGATCTCCACAACCACCAGCCACCCGCCAACTCATCTGCCTCCCAACTTGAAGCCTGTGGCAGGATGCAAAGCAACGTGGATTTCAGATCCTTGCTCTTGGTTAGTATCTTACTATTGTTATTCATATGAATCATTTAAAATATAACTTGAAACCAGACTATTGTGGAAGAGAACTTGAAATTTCTATAGCACAATAACTTCATGCTGTTTTTCAATGAAAAAACATCTGAGAGAAATTTGCACTTGAACCTAATTCCTGCCTTGGACAACTTAAAGAAGTTTCCTTTGGTTTATATTTCCTTCTTTAGCTTTCCCGCCTTTTCTACATTGAATACGAATGTCATTCATAATCAAGAAAAGCATTTTTAAAAGTATTCTTTTTGTTGCCCTGTGGAAAAAAAAGTCAATGATGTAGAACAATGTAAGAGTCTTCCCCTCATTATTCAAAAACTGAAAAACCACTACTTTTGGCACTACCCCTTGCCAACTGAAGAAAACAAACTGAGCTCTGAAAACGGAGGTGCCCAGTTTCTTTGTCTTCTAACATTACACCAATTCATCAACTCATTCACGACATATCCACTAACTCATGTTAGAAGAGCAATTCACTCATGATTCAAACTGTAAAGCTTTTCAAGAAATAACTTGCTAACCTGACTTCATAAAAGACAGTGTTAACTTTCTGATATAGTGTTTGCAAATGTGTTAGAATAACTCATTTTAAATAACTGAAATTTTACATGGCATTTCAATTTTAAATTGCCCTAACTCTGTTTGGTTATAAAGTAAATCTATTTCTCTACTTGCTTTCTCCACTCCTTCTAATAGAAGCAACTGGAAAATATACAATTATACATATACACACATAAAATACATAAAAGAGCATGGTTAAAATTACACAGAGAAAAGCATACAATTTATTAATAAGCTAGTACAGAATGAAACATAGTGAGTTTGATGACTATGCAATGCAATGCAAATATTACCAGAATGACATGGCCAGTGATGGAATGGGCTTAAAATCATGACTGATAATGGCAGGCAGAGCCTAAACATCCCCTTAAATTGGATTAAAAGGAAATATACCTTTGTTGTTACCTTTAAATGCAAAGTTAAAAAAGGCAGAATTCTTGCCCACATCGTTGTAAGCCTTACACTCAAACGTGCCATTGTGCCTGAATGCACTGGAATCTATGGAACTTTGAACCACTAGTCTTCCAAACGGTGACACAGATGAGTTTTGTATCTGCACATCCACTGGCACAATAGGAGCAGAACATCTAGCAGAAGAAAACAACCCAGACTTACTTTAGGCAAACAAATAAGTAAAGGAAACACCTTGGACATGACACACTTCTATAACTAAGTTAAAGGTTCATCAAAAATCAAAACTAAACTCACTGCCATCGAGTAAATTCTGACTCACACTGACCCCCATTGGGTTTCTGAGGTGGTAAATCTTTATGGAAGTAGATTGCCCCATCTTTCTTCTGAGGAGTGGCTAGTGGGTTTGAACCACCAACCTTCTGGTTAGCAGTCAAATGCCTTAGGCTTTATACCACCAGAGCTCCTTCTAAAGGTTCATAATATGTGGAAATTTCCCTTTACAGCTGTCACTGACTGGAGAGGAATGAGCATATCTGTGGTTCAGTGAGCAAGAAAAGTACCCTGGAGGAGGAGAAGAAGGGAGCTGAGCTTGGGGTTAGATGTGGGTTTGACTCCTGACTCAAACATCTATTCTGATTACTTCTAACAAGTTACTTAAACCCTTTTAAGCCCAGGTCTCTGAGCCTATAAAATCAGGATGGTAATATCCACCTTGGAGGGTTACTGGATGGAAAAGAAATGGATTAAATAAAATGCTTGGCACCTATCTTGGCATCCAGTGTAGTCGTTGTTAGCTGTCATCGAGTCGGTCCCTGACCCGTGGCAACTCCATACACAATGGAAAGAAATGCAGCCCAGTCCTGCACCCTCCCCTTCAGGAGCTGTGGGTCAGACCACTGAGATTGAGGGCTTTCACTGTCTGATTTTCAGAAGCAGATCAATAGTCTTACTTCCCAGTCCATGTTAGTCTGAAAGCTCCACTTCATAGGATCCCAGCAACCTGTAAGCCTCTGCTGACAGACGGATGGTGGCTATGCATGAGGTGTGCCATCTCAGAATGGAACCAGGGTCTCCCACATGGAAAGAGAGAATTCTACCACTGAACCACCAAAGCCTTATCCTTATAATAAAGTCTGAAATGATGTATGAATGGTTGAAAAGGAAGAACATGGAGGAGCTTCAAGAAAGCATGAAAAGTCAACAGTGCTGAGGACAGGGCAACTCCAAAAACTGTAGGGTGAGGGTCATGAGGCTCAAGGTTCTATGCAAGGAATTACAGGTGGTACCACCCAGTTATACTGCAGATGGCAAAGATACTCCCACGGGGGAATCCTTCCCTCGGCTCCCCTTCTCTGAGCCCGACTACGACTCCCAATTTTCACTTGCCTCTCTCATATTTCTAGCAGTTTTTCCTCTCCTCTACCTTGTTTTCTTTCTCTCCTTGTTATTTGCTGCCAGTGAGTTGGCCCTCAACTCATGGGGCCTCCCCACGTGTTACAGAGCAGAACTGCTCCATAAGGTTTCCCTGGCTGTGATCTTATGGAAGCAGATCATCAAGTGTTTCTTCCACAGAGGCACTGGGTTGGAACCGCCAACCTTTAAGTTAGCAGCAGTACACTTAACAATTTGTGCCACCCAGGAACTTATCACTAAACAGCATAATGAATTTATTTGTTTATGTTGTCTTTTATCTGTCTCTTCCCATTAAAATATAAACACACAAGGACAAGGGCTCAGGTATTTAGCAGCTCTGTCTCTGGCACACAGCTAGCATTCCACAAATGCTTGCTGAATGAATGAGTGTAACAACTGGAGTTGTTTCCCACTGTGGGCATCCATTCCAGAGTCTTGAACCCTCACTATTACTCTCCACAGAAAATAGTTGACTAAAACTCCATGAAGACAATAATACTATGTGACCTCCTCTGACTCATTGTGATGAAAAGGTTTATTTGATGAAAAATGAAATTTCCATTATTAGCCTGACTATTCAATTGTGATGTTAAAATGAGCTTTTAAAGCCTGAGCACAAAATAGCATTTGATGGATAAAAACAACAACATTGACCTCATTTGAATCTTCAGGTAATGTGAAAGGACAATTTAAGTATGGATTGTATGGGAGAGGAGGTACCGATGCCAGATGTGCTTTTGCTCAGGAGCTGGGTACCTAATGAAGGAGAAAAACGTAGCTTACAAATGCCATATGCATGTTGTAATTGCATGATCATTACTTTTTGGTAACTCGGCAATTAACTTCTGAGGTAATTTTTTCATGATAACTACAGCCACATTTCCCACACACATTACCTCCTGTGTATAGAATGGAAATCTAATTACTCTGGTCCTGGAAAATTGCTTTATCTACCTGCAGGCTAGAAATTGCATGATAAATCCAAAAAGATAACCACCAAAAGAGGTAAGTCATTCAGTCATCATTTTTCAGCAAAGAAAATTAATGTCGAACAAGAAAAATACAGCAATTATTCCCTCTCAAAAGCCTCACGGATAGAAAAAAATAATAACCAAAACAAAGCTTAAAAAAAAGTCTGAAAACACATTTGAAATTCAACTGAATGGTAGTCCCTCCCTTCTGCATGTTAAGCAGTGCCAAAAATAATCATCTCACCTCTGCTCAGTTCCTGGACAAAAATACCACTCTATTGTGGGCTCTGGGAATCCCGCTGCCACACATTGGAGCTTGCCATTCACGAGCCTGTCAGAAGTCAGGATTTCTGGTTTTGCTGCAGGAAAGGAAAAATGGCCATCTGTCAGACTGCTGAAATCTCACCAAGATTTGCTTCACTCTCTTTCTAATCCTTAGAATCCTCTTGAGGCTGATGAGCACTCAGAAGGAACACATGTTGCTCCAAGGGGAGAGTCTGTCCCAGTGAGTGGAAGGCCCGGGGAGAGAAATGTGAAGGTCAAGCCAGGGGAGGCCCTCACGGTTAGGGCTGCCCAGCGTGGCAAAGCCCGTCCCCCCTGCAGATGTGAAGGTCCTGGTGTCAATCTGTTCTTGGAGTTGCTCAAGTGGCAGTGTCCAATGGCCACCTGGTCGAGTTTCTGCTTCAAGAGAGGAGTATCTGAAAGTCAAGATTTTGGGAGCCTAAACCGTAATGAAGGCTGTTGCTGTTTCGAGTTACACGGAGTCACCTCTGACTCAAGGTGACCTTATGTACAATGGAACAAAAGGTTTCCTGGTCCTGAGCCATCTTCACGACTGCTGGTTTGTTGACTCCATGGATGCAGCCACTGTATATGTGGAGTGCCTTCCAACCCAATGGGGGGTCATCTTCCAACACAACATTGGATAATATTCTATTGGTATGTGTAGGGTTTTTCACTGGCTAATTTTCAGAAGTTTACTGCCAGGCCTTTTTTCCTTGTCTTAATCTAGAAGCTCTGCTGAAAGCTTGTCTACCATGGGTGACAAGCTGCTAGTATTTAAAGTACTAGTAGCATAGTTTTCAGTGTCATAGCAACATGCTACCACAGTATGACAAACTGACAGATGAACAGTGGTTCTAACAATGGAAATCCTGTTTAAAGGAAGTCTTACCATTGGAATTTCAAGTTACTGTATCTGCCATTGGAATTTCACATTATTGTAGAGATTGGGATAGATGAATTAGGAGTTACAGGAAAAGAGAAGCCCTGTCCTCTCTTCCAGGAATTTTCTTTCTTTCCTTTTTTTTTTTTTTGGAGTGGGGGAAATGGATAAAGAGCTGAATCGCTATTTACAAAGAAGCCACTACCTAACAGTAAAATACAATGTGGACTTTTAATTTTAAATTTTTATTTCAAATGCCAAATATGGACAGAAAATTAGAAGAGAAAACCAGTTCAAGAATTTTATTTACAAATATATCTATAACTGAGTCCAATCACCAAAAAAAGTAAATCGTTATCAGCAGGAATGCTCTCATTTGGGATTTCTGTATAACTACAACAATCAATTAATATTCAAGAGTGCCCTAAAGCACCACAAATTTCTGAAGTTTTTTCCTAACATGAAAGGGAGATTAAGTCATGCTCCATTTTTCTGATGATAATACATGTGAAGGATTCTAATTCTTTGAGACCACCACCTTTTTGTCAATTTGCTGTCCTGTAGTGCCTTGTGGGTTGCTATGATGCTGGAAACTATGTCACCAGTACTTCCAATACCATCAGCGTCAACCATGGTGGACTGGGTCCAGTAGAACTTTCAGACTAAGACCTGGAAGAAAGGGCTGGTGATCTACTTTTGAAAATTAGCTAATAAAAATGCTGTGGGTTAGAATAGAATATTGTTTGACATCGTGCCGAGACACGAGCCTCCAGGGTTGGAAGGCACTCAAAAAGCACAGTGGCCACAGGGAGATAGCTAAAGGGACAGGGAAAAAAAAAAGAACAGACTGAGCATGGCGATAATTGTGAAGATGGTGCAAGCCCAGCCACCTGCTGCTCAGTTGTATACTGGGTCACTTGCTATGGGTCGCAGCAAACACAATGGTAGCAAACAACACTAATTTTTTGAGAATGAGTGAGCTGCAACGTGAGCATCCTGATGTCGGAGATGGAGATGTGCTCACCCTGTATCCTTGGTGTTTCAGCATCTATTGCGCCAAGTCTGAGTACAGAACTATGGGAGATACCACGTTTGTAGTGGACAGACCTGAATACCAGCTCCAACACTTACCAGTTCTCTGCCCTTGTTCTAGTTTCTGAATTGTCTCTGTAAATGTTCCTTAACAGTGAAAATGGGAATAGTAATAGAACCCATCTCACAGGAATGTTGTGATAATTCAATGAGATAGTGCTTACAAAGACCCAACAGTGATCCACAGAATGAAATAATAAATTACTAAGTACTATTCACAAAACCCTTACTTTTTTTTTCTTTAAATAGACCATATTTCTTAGAGCAGGTTTTGGTTTACAAACAATTGTTCAGAAAAAATCTGCTGTAGTTAAATAGATTTCAACCCTATATATTACAGATTAGGACTACTTCATAGGGTTTTCTTGGTTGAAATCTTTTTGGAAGTAGATTACCAAGCTATTCCTCCACAGAGACAGACCTGGGTGGGTCTGAATTGCCAACTTATTGGTTAGCAGTCAAGCACAAAATCATTGGTGTCACCCAGAAACTCAGAAAGTCCCCACACAGCCCCTCCCCACCGCATAACATAATGGTAATACAATATTATGTATTAACATAGTATTTCTGCTCTTATTAGCATCTAGCATTCCTGTGGTACATTAGGCATAATTGATAAATCAATATTGATACATTATTATTAACTAAATGCCCATAATTTACATTAAGGTTCACTATTCTACGAGTTTTGACAAATGCATAACATCATATGATCTCCTAGTTATTCATTTTAAATCAGAGTGCCCACTGTAACTGTATTCACCACTTTAAATATCCTCTGCAATGATCTGAAAATTGCTTCCTTAAGATAATGTGATAACGTGCACATATTTTAACCCAGTGCACTGGGAATTCAACATTATGTTGCAACTGAAAGGAAAAAAAAAAGTGGTGAGAAGGAAAGACTGACAAATCAGAAGCTTAGGAAGTTTATTTCCCTAAGGAAAGGTAACAGTGATAAATGACATCTCTGTGGAGCAACCTCTCACCACTTCGCCTCCTTGGAAGCAAAACAGACCGGCAGGGGTCTGAGTGTCCGCATGCGTGGCACACCCACCTGTCACTCAACCTGCCTCTGCTGATGGACAGGCCATTTGGCTAATACACATAAACCAGCAACACTCCAAAGCAATCTCAAGGTAGGAGCATTCTTGAAAGTTTGGATCTAATGCCAGCTTCACAAATAGAGCAAGAAGATGAGCTATCATCTCGTGAAAGCATCCATCTGGCAAGTTTCATTTAATTATCATGGGCAACCGTGTGATTGGGCTGAAAAGTAGGACATAACACACAAAAAAACCATAGAACCTTAGGAAAATGCTCTTTGCTGGAGAACGCATGTGCCATACGGTGGGTCTGTCTGGAATGAATTCAAATGTCATCCTCCTTTTCCAAGCCATCCTCAACTCTTCCAAGCCAAGTTGGTTGGTCTCTCCTCCTTATTCCTGCAGCCCTTAACAGCACCTGCCAGTGTTATGCAGTATCTTAGTTTCTCTCCCCTATCAGACTATATGTTCTCAAGGGCCAGAACCACATCTTACTGATTTTTATCTCTGATTCTTAGCACAGAGCTTGACCTATGGCAGGCATACAGCAAGAGCTGTTGAGCAATTAAGATCCCACTCCCCAAAATCAAGTCTCTCAGATCACAAAGGAATTTGGTTATAAAGCATAGCTGCACACACGCACAAAGAAACAAGAGAACAGCCTCTTGGTGATCTTATGTGGAGGGGAGACCACATTTTTACAATAGTGGGCCATAAGGTAAGACGTTGTGAACTTTTATTATTTTTTCCCCTTAATACTGAGATTGATGATGAGTAGTATGTCTACACATATATGGCAAAGATAACTGAATAGTACTCAAATGAGAAAGAAACTCTGGTGGTGTAGTGGTTTAGTGCTCAACTGCCAACTGAAAGGTCAGTGGTTCAAACCTACTAGTCGCTTCACAGGAGAAAGATGTAACAGTCTGCTTCCGTAAAGATCACAACCTAGAAAACCCCATGGGGCAGTTCTATTCTGTCCTATAGGGTCACTATGAGTTGAAATCAATCCAACAGTGATGCGTATTCTTATAGGAATCTTAAATTATTTAGATAGATATGGTTACACCTATATTCCTTTTTTCACTCATCTTTCCTACCTAATTCCCATACTGTCATAGGATGTAATTTTAGTGGAATTAAATACTAACAGGAAAAAGAGGCTGAAAAGATATCTTAAGATGTTAACAATGTATGGTTATCTCTGGGTAGGGTGATGGATAGTTTTTATTTCTTTTTCATTTTACTTACTTTCTTTTTATAATGAACATGTAGCTAATAACAAACCTATAAAACATTTTTTTAATTAAAAAATTGGAACAACTCATATTCCATTTAGCTGTGGTTACACGTACTCAAAGAGCCAAGCCTTCTAGCGTGACACCTGGTAGCGGTTACACAACAGCCATAGCTGGCAAGTGGTGCGACCTGGCTGGCCTACTTGCTCCTGTGTGCCAGTTAATTAGGTAGTTTTTTAAGTCACTATTCCAGGTGGATCATAACCTGAGGCTAGCTGAGCAGCTTTAGTCCTGTTGGGCCTTAGATCAAGCTCAGAGGGTCCTCAGATTTCAGGATGCATTAAAATCATTAAGAGAAGAGGTAAAAACCACAGATACTTGGCCCCTACCCCCAGGGTTTCAGTAAGTCAAAGGTCTGGCCCAGCAATCTGCTTTCTCGAATCCCTTCCAAGGGACCCTGATCAGGGCCAGGTTTAGTGTGAGGCAAGAGAAGCACCTGCTATCGTTAGCTCCTGTCAGGTTGATTCTGACTCATGGTGACCCCGTGTGTGCAGAGAACTGCTCCATGGTATTTTCAAGCCTGTGACCTTTTGGAGATCACCAAGTCTACCTTCTGAGGCACCTATAGGTGGGCTCAAACTGCCAACCTTTTGCTGATGGTCAATGCACTTACCCATCTGCACCACCCAGAGAATGGACTACCAGAGAAGCACCTACCCATTGTCAGTAAGTACGACTCAGAGAGACCCTAGACAGAGTAGAACTGCCCCACAAGGTTTCCAAAGCTGTAATTGTTATGGAAGCAGGCTGCCAACTCT